TGAGCTGCTGGGTTGGCAGAAGCTAGGGATGAGACAGGAGCTCACTCTGCCGCACGGAGCTGGGCTTGAACCGCTCAAGTGTCGACCATTTCTGGCTGGCAACTTTTAGCGTCATTAAGCCGCCGCGCCACCGCATCCCCCCCAAAGTAAAGTATAGATCAAATAGATACTGATTTACCTATGTATTGTCTTTTGATCCTGTAAGGATCACTGGAAGAATCATTTCCTCATTTGTGTATATAACCAGAATTGCTACTTTTTCATGAATCTGGTTTCCCAGACTGGTATAACCTTGTATTCATTGGCCTAGAGTGGCTGAATATAATGTCTCTATGTTATTCCTCATTTCAAAACTATTATTTCTCCAGTTTGTGTGCTGTATCCTTGGGGAACATGATACAGTTTTTTGATAGATAGACAGACAGACAGACAGACAGACAGATGTTTACACAAGCAAAGTTCCAATCAGTAATAAGGAGTGGTTACTATTTAAAAGAGAGAACTGGCAATTAAGATCTCAATCATCATATAAGAAGCAGTTAAACTATTTAAAAGAACACTCACAATTTATGGACTCCTTGAACTGATCTCTCATTTCATCATCCAAGTCTAACATTTCTGGACTTTGTCTTATAAAGTTGAATAAACTATTTGCTTCTGCTGTATCTTGAAAAATATTTTTCAGTGCAATATTAATACACATAAGTCTGTGCAATGCCACAACTTACTTACTTACTTTATTTATTTTTCAAATTTGTCACTGCCCATCCCACTATGGAGTGACTCTGGGCAGTTTACAGTAAAAATAAAATAAACATTAATTAAAATAGATAAATATTAATTAATTAAAATATGCTAAAACAAACTTCCTTTATAATACTTCCAAGACGCTGATATTAATTAGGTGTTAATAAACTTCTGCGAAGAGAGGACTCTTTGGAAAAGACCCTGATGCTGGGAAAGATGGAAGGCAAAATGAGAAGAGGACAGCAGAGGATGAGGTGGTTAGAGAGCATCACTAAAGCAATGAGCGTGAAACTGAGCAAACTCAGGGAGGCAGTGGACAGGAAGGCCTGGCGCAATATGGTTCATGGGGTCACGAAGAGTCGGACACGACTTAACGACTGAACAACAACAACAACAATAAACTTCAGGGAGCATCATCAAGGCGCCAGCCATCCCCAGGGTCGATTGGATCTTTTCTTGCCCCACACAGGTTGGCAGAGCCAAGTCTTCAACTCCCTCCGAAAAATTGGGAGGGTAGGGGCCCACCTCACCTCGGGGGGAGAGTATTCCATAGGGTGGGGGCAATGGCAGAGAAGGCTCTCCTCCTAGGACGGAGAGAGTCAACATTCTCTCACTGACAGGATCCGCAACGTGCCTTCTCTGCTGGAATGGGTGGGACAGGCCAATGTAATGGGGAAGAGGCGGTCCCTCAGGTAGCCTGGACCCGTGCCATGTAGGGCTTTAAAGGTGATGACCAACACCTTGAATTGGACCCGGAAACAAACAGGAACCCAATGCAGCTCCCGCAGCAGAGGTGCTACGTGTGCCATCCTTGGGGCACCCAGGATTGCCCGCGCAGCCGCATTTTGAAGTAGCTTCTGGATATTCTTCAAGGGTAGCCCCATGTAGAGCACATTGCAGTAGTCTAAACAAGAGATGACCAGGGCGTGAGTGACAGACCGGAGGGGCTCCTGATCCAGGAAGGCACACAACACGAAGTTGCGCATATCATGAGAATCTTAGATGAAAGATTTGTGTATTACAGGTTATAACTTCAAACCTATAAAATGGCCTTATAGAGAAACAATAAGGTTAGGCAGGGGCTTTCTACTAAATTTGCTTTCTTTAAAAAAATTAAAAGTTGGAGGTTAAAACTTTGTATATGCATATTTATAGAAAGTTTTATTTCAGATCAAAACCACTGATTTTAAATTCCCAACCTCCATTAAAATCAATAGAATAAGTCATTTTATGATATTTTAAACAGGATTTAAGAACTATTTCTTACCAGGATTAATAGTAATGATGGTCTTTGAGATTACAGTTGCAATCATACAGCTTCTAAATTTGTCAAAATTTATTCTTACATCAGATGCAAATATTACTGAGAAGGAAAATACAGAGTGTTTCGTTATTCCAGGCAAACTTTAAACAGCTCAACGAAACCTACTGTATGTGAAAATGAAAAGATGGTACCTGTTTCCTGGGGTACCCAGCTCTGTGCAAGCTGGATAGATTCATTGTCCCAGCTGGAGAAACAATAGCATTAAGTTAATACAAAAAAATGCTTATTTATTTAACATGTTTATGATTGTAAATTACCAGGGAAGAATCTAAATATTAAAAGCATATAAGCATATACTAATACCACAAATAAAACTAGTAAATAAAAGACAAAAAAGACCCAAATAAAGGAAACACTTGATCCGATGTTTCTCGGATGGGGGTGAGAAATCCAACATCCAGGAGGTTCTGCTGATCATTGTTAACATTGAATGGTGAACTCCATGAACTTCTGGTCAGATCCAGCTTCAGGGTTGTTCTACTTATTGCAGCGTAATATATAAAGGTGTTAAAAATAACATTTGTGGAAAAATTATTTAGGGACTATATTAAGCAGTATGTTACTTTGAGCAAGCAAGACAATCAGTTATCTAGTTTAGTTTATTTCCTAATCACTGTGACATCCTTTCCTAACTGATTTGCAGCTCAGTTTCATTCTGAATATCCAGAGGGAAGAGTGTATCAATAATTCATAGAAAAGGATAATCTATTCAAAGCTATACTGCTGGGCAGCTTTACCTGTCACAGACATTAATAGATATTGCTGTCACTTAATGGATCCTACTGTATCTCTCACAAAGGCACACAATTAACAGGCTTCAGTTAATGCTAATTGTATGCATTTCTATCCGTTGCAGTTTCATATTTTTGTATTTACTGGTACAGCTGAATTATGACTTCCAACGGTGCTTACCATATCATTGCAAAGGAAGACTCGCTATCATCACACAGCCTTATTTCACACCTGTGGCCCTTCCGCCTGTCTGAAGTAGCAAAATATTTTGGTTCACCAACCTTTGTAAAGGAAAAAAAGAAAAAAAAAGGAAGAAAACCTGATCTTGATCACAATACTGCCGTGTTTTGTCAAATAGAAATTGTTCTCATATTCTTGTTCCCACTATTCACACCTCAACCCACTTCAGCTATAGCAGCACTTGTTATAATTACAGCATGTATGTGGATAAATATACAGTTTATTCTTCTCAGAAAATCACATCTAAAGGAGAATAGCTTATCAAATTGTGGAACATTGCCGCAGGAAATGAAGCGTTCTTGTTCTACTTGGGCAGTTATTAAAAAAAAAACAGAATTCCTGCATTATTACGAAGAAGTATTCGTGGTTAGCAAACTATAACCATTTAAAAAGGTTTGGAAGGAAAGAACTGCATATTTTAAGTAAAACAAGGCTTTCTCATATAGTAAGTGCTATAGGGCAGATTAATATATAGGAGGGGGTTCTTTACTTTTTTCCATCCACCAATTCTCTCCTCCAAGTGTCCCTACAAAAATTCATATTCTTTCCCTAGCTTAATTCCACATTTGGAATAAACCCAGCTGAAGGAAAGTTTAAACCCAATAAATGAAGGCAGGAATGGTTAAGAAACTCTCACCCACCATTTCTCCCCTCTAAATGCTTCTTTCTCCTTCCATCTGCGTTATCAAAGTAGATTTAGGGCTAGTGACAGGCAGCTAAAATTCATTCTCAAATTCTTAGGCCTATGAATATATGAAAATAAGAAGTTTATATACCTTATAAAGGCACCTTGTCTAATACTGCGACTGCCTAGTGTCTCCCTGAGACCTAATTTCTTTTCAGTGAACTTTTCTTTTGGGCCACGGGATTCCACAGACAGATTCCAATGATAACTGCATACAAGAATCACTGTGGCATTTAATAGGAGCTTATTATTTTCTGCTGATTTCAACATGGTTTGCACAGAATAGTTATACATGGATTATGCAGGAAAGGGAGAATAAAGGTACAAGGGTGAGATTCATCTTAATCTGAATACTGCAGAACAAATTTAGCATTAATACTTAACCTCATGATTACTAATTAACCTGTGCAGATATTTTAAAAGACTTTAACTAAACCTCTAGTAGCAAAGTACCTTTCTGAGGCCCCATCTTAAATCCATGAAGGTTTTATAGAATATTGTTTATGAAATATTTGATTGATGCTACTCATTAACCTTTCTTGGTGCTAAATCAAGCCAAGGGACTGCTGAGCAACACAGAAAGTCCTCCTCCCAACTCTGCTGTGACCCAGTAAATCCTTATCTATACAGAAATCAATTAGATTTTCAGGCTACAATGTGAGCTCTCTTTGATTTATTAAAGTTGATGTGACTTACTGATTTAATAGCAGCAAGAACATTAATTATTTTTCCATCCAGGCTTTGTCCATTGGCCACAATATCCCGCAGTGAGTAAAAATCTTGAGGGTTCTTCACAGGTAGATGCAACAGAGGCAGCAGCCTGGTGTCTGCTTCATAGATTCTAACTGCAGAATGATTCTCACTGAGCAATAATTTGTAGTTGCTGACAAGTGGGAACATAACATTTTACCAACTTTTAAAGACATATATAGTCTCTAAACTAAGATTGCATCAAGAATGTTATATTTTAATACTGTATGAGTGACAGGTCAAACCATTGCAAATAGCAATTCTGAACTGCTTTCCTGACATCTAAATCTGTACCAGTAGAAGAGAATATATGTAGCTCAGGGTTGAACTGTGGCGTCCTTGGAGTCTCTGACCTCAGAGAACCCCAAGGACTCCACATCTAAATTTGTTTTAACTTATTCACTGAAAAAGTATTCTGGAAGCAGATTGTTCTTTATACTTAGCTAAGCTTTGTAACAAGGTAAGCTGACCATATTTGAGCAGCAAAAATCTCATCTGAAATTTTACAGCCCATATATGGTAGGACTGCAAGAGGATCTTTTAGAGGTGAGTATGTGTAGCTCAGGGTTGGACTGTGGAGTCCTTGGGGTTCTCTGAGCTTGGTTCTTTTCTTGCAAATGTTTCATTACCCAGCTAAGGTA